AGCACAGCAAAGATCGGCACGCTGGCGACTCGCACAGAAAGAGCTCCGATGCCAGGAAGAGACCCTACTCCTTCAGCAACGGCAAAGACCACCGAGAGCGAGAGAGAGACCAGTACAGAGAGAGAGGAGAGCGACAGGACAGCAGGTGCTTTTAACTGTAGCAGCGTTCACAAATGCAGCTTTCTTCATTTTTTTCAATGGGGTGATGTGCATGAAGCACATGACATGCAGGGAAAAGACAGGATATCATGGCCACAAACTAATTTGTTCCTTCATTTGAGGTAAATTGTGACCATGTTGTGCTAATTCGTTCCCTTGTTTAAGTGAAATCTTATTATAAGATAATTGAAAATCTTATTATAAAATCATTGAAAAATTATTAAAACCTGACCACGATTTAACTACAAGGAAACAAAGTTGTGAGAACAAATTATGCCATTTCTTGCCAAAACATTAAATGTAAACTAATGAACTGTGTATGAAAATGCAGTGAATATAAACAGTGTTAAGGGATGAACAATATTATTGGCCAGTAAAGGCTTAAAATTAACTCCTGGTATCTTCCCATTAAAAACTATAATGATAATTTTTGTTTGAAAATTCTATATATCTAGAATGATATATTCTATTTATATCTAGAATTATATATGTATAATAGAATTATATTTAATATTGGCAGATTTCCTTTAAAGGTATAGTTCACCCAAAAATGTAAATTGTCATCATTTACTCAACCTTGACTCGTTCCAAACTTGTATGGGTTTCTTTCTTCTGTAAACACATAAGAAGATATTCTGTTGGTAACCAAACAGTTGATGGTAGCCATTGACTTACATAGTATTGAAAAAAATACTGTTACATCTACAATGTTTTAGTGCTTTTCCTGCAGTTCCTAGATCTGCAAGGTTGAATTTCTTGACCACTAAAAGTGAATTTGCAATATAATGATAAATGAAATATAATGAATAGATATAGAACTAAACTATTAAAGGTAAATGTTCTTGGTTTTATTAATTTAAATATACAACAAACTAATATTTGAAAACATGGAATGTGTAAGACCAATGTTCCCTCTAATTTTTTTCTTGATGAGCAAAAATTTTCTCTATTGGGCGGACATTTCAGCCACCTGAGCAAAAACAGTCTTTATACCAGACCTGTACAGCACGCGCACACAAAAAAAGTGCATAACTTTTAACTTTAATGTGCTATTTATATTTGATTTGACCCTTGATGTAACTAAATGATGCACATTTTAGGTTATCTGAGAAAACATTTTTACAGTGCTGTTACCAAAAAATCCTATTAAAAATCATTTAAAAAATCTCAAGCAGAAGAGTTAAATTCTTTATTATAATATAATGTGATATGAAAAAATGAAGCAGATATTGCTAATAAATTCCCTTTTTGAGGTTAGTTATCATCAACATCCCTATGTAGTAGAGATTGCACACTACTACACCTGTGTGTGTGAGACTGTAAATGTCTGGGGGTTTTGTTACCGTTCTGTGCCCATCATTTGCTATATTTCCACCACTTAATCAAGCCATTCTTCTTTAAAACATGACGTTTTATTTCACGTCATTGCGTTTGCATTGGCTCTTGTGTTGAGCTATTTCGTCTGCAACCGTTAAAGTATTTGATTTGTACAGGGACTGATTCGGCGCACATCATTCTATGAAACCTGTAAACCGCATTCACTGGTTCTAACTTGCCCGAGCATTGCAATTATTTCGCATTTACTAGAACCCACTCAAATGGCTTTCCCAACTCTGTGTGTGCGGTATATTATTTATTCTGCACGGTCGCGACTGATGGTGTGTTTACATTCGCATCTTCCGCACAAGTTCAAAAAATTTCAACATGAGCGGAAAAGCTTATTGACACATCTGGTTGAATCAGAAATTGGAAGAGAGCATTATTGTAGCCATCTGTGGGCACCCTGAAATTTATGATATAGTTCTGGCGCATAGAAAACAATTAAAATCAGCTGTAGTGGTAGGCTAATTGTATTTTATTAGCATGGCTACAGAGATGCTGCTATCAATAAAAAAAATGTCATCGTATGTACAGTAGTAAAATGTAACATGTTAATGTAGGATCAATACTCATCCGTCTCTGGATGGTGCTTTGAAACGTTTTGAAACGCTTTGACACGTCGGCGTTTGGCTTTCCTGCGTATTTGGGACTTTCACAACAGGTACAAAGCAGCGATCATAGTTATCTCCACCATGGTTGATCGTGCAATGTTTTTATTCACTCGAGTGACATTAAAAAACATCCCACGAGTAATCTAGAGCTAGTGACGCAATGCGCATATTCGCTTAGCGTTTGGTGTGAACACACCATTAAGTATACTTCGTTTTTGTACGCTAGCGTATGCGTACAGTCGAACACGTAGCCTTTCAAAGTATACTCCATTTGAAGTTGCGAACACGAGCGGTCAACACATGCGCTCTAGAAAGCTTCATCCATGTTCAGTGTCTGCTCTATTTTTCCCCATTAAGTCATGACTGATAACAAATATTTTTTAACTCTTTTAAACCAAAGCTGAGCTGTCTCATACCCTCTCGCTCACAAGCGCTTGTCAATGTGAGCGTCTGTTGTTGCAGTCTCCGCTATTTTGTTGTCGTTGCCCGTCTCTTTAGTATCGTTTTCTACTGTGAAACAATGGCCCGGGACAGTGTTGCCACCATGTGGAAAAACTGATTACTGCAAAATAACTTCAGTGCGCATGTGTGACCCGAGCGTACAATGTATGCGCGGTTACAAAAATCGGGTGGTGCGCGTACTGTTCTGATGACGCAATTTGCATCTGTACGCTGTCCCTCGCGTACGCATAAAAAGTGAAGTATACTTTGGGCTTTAGAGGGAACATTGTGTAAGACTGAAGGGTGTTACTACAGAGTGTTATTTAATGTTCTTAATAGGGCTGTCAAAAAAATTTGAATTTCGAATGTTCGTTGAATTTGAAATAAAAATCCACATTCGAATGCAAAAACGCTGCATTCGAATTTTGTGTGCGTCAGGCAGCCTTATCAGTGGACACAAGATGCGATGATGATGTAAGTGTCGTTGCATTTTAATGTTTTGTTAGCCTATCCAGTTGAACCCACTGCTACATTGTTCATTCAAAATATTGAGGAAAAAGAGAACATCAATGCGGAGATGTTGTTGTTTACGGAGAAACTGAAACCAAGCCGTTCACACACAACACATATTTATCGCATTTTCTAGAGGGACATCTATCAGCGTTGCACTCGCGTCTCGCACGAGAGCCGCATGTTTAGAAAGCCATGTAAAATTAATGTAAGTTCAACTGTTAAAAAACATGTCTCGAGACTTTATGGCGGTTTTTCCCCATCCCACTGCATCTCATGTTTTTAAATGAAAAAAGTACTTTTAGTGATTGGTTTTCGTTCCTTTGTATTAAACTATACATACATACATGATGCTGTTTTATTTCTAATTGTTTAAGAAACTTAATTATATATTTTTTATAAACATTATTTTAAACATTATGCACTTTTTCAAAGATAGTAGTGTTATTTTATTATGCTTTGAAGAATCGTGCACTAGTAATATTTTGCTCGATGCGCCCTCTTGTGGCCTCAGGAGAGAAGCCAAAAACTTTTTTCCCCTCTAACTGAAATTATGCCTTTTAAATTCGAATATTGATAATATTTAAGTACAAAATTCTAATTGAGTTTTTCAGCCATTTTGACAGCTACAAGTTCTTAATGTTCTAAGCCATTTTTGAATATCAGGTTGTTTGTTTTAGGAGTTAAAGGTCATCATGATTTATGATGGTAACGTGTGGCTGATTGACTGATTTTGCAGATACTACAGCGACAGCAAGCACAGGAAGCTGGACGAGCACCGCTCCAGCAGAGAGCACCGATCAGAAAGCAACTCCAAGGACAGGACTCACTCCGAACACCGCTTCCACTCTGAGCACCGCTCTGCCTCTGACTACACGCATCACAAATCGTCCCGGGACTACCGCTACCATTCAGACTGGCAGATGGAGCACCGGCCGCGCTCTCCGCTGGGACACCGCTCGCCCTTCGAGTACTCGTCAGACCACAGAAGCACACCCGAACAGGTCTGGAGCGGCCGCAAGACATAACGCTCTCCGCTCTGCTCGCTTCTGATTAGCCATAGACACAAAACACACAGGAAATGCCTTAGGGGACTGTCGGCCGCTGCACTGGGGCTCTGGGAGTGCCACCCTTTCCTACTCACCTTCGAGAAACACAGATCATATTTTTGTATTTAAGAGTTAGCTGCATTCTTTCGTAGGTGCTGCAGAGTAATTTTTTTTTTATTATTCTTTTTATAAATTGACTACTTTCCTTTTTGTTTGTTTTTTTACTTGGAAACAGATGAATCCATGTTTCACTGTCACGTGCGACACTGGATCCGGACATACAGCCGTATATAAACGCAACGCAGCTTATTTAAGAAGTGTTGAGTGAAAGGATGCTACAAATGCGTGCATGTCTCGAGACTTTATGGCGGTTTTTCCCCATCCCACTGCATCTCATGTTTTTAAATGAAAAAAGTACTTTTAGTGATTGGTTTTCGTTCCTTTGTATTAAACTATACATACATACATGATGCTGTTTTATTTCTAATTGTTTAAGAAACTTAATTATATATTTTTTATAAACATTATTTTAAACATTATGCACTTTTTCAAAGATAGTAGTGTTATTTTATTATGCTTTGAAGAATCGTGCACTAGTAATATTTTGCTCGATGCGCCCTCTTGTGGCCTCAGGAGAGAAGCCAAAAACTTTTTTCCCCTCTAACTGAAATTATGCCTTTTAAATTCGAATATTGATAATATTTAAGTACAAAATTCTAATTGAGTTTTTCAGCCATTTTGACAGCTACAAGTTCTTAATGTTCTAAGCCATTTTTGAATATCAGGTTGTTTGTTTTAGGAGTTAAAGGTCATCATGATTTATGATGGTAACGTGTGGCTGATTGACTGATTTTGCAGATACTACAGCGACAGCAAGCACAGGAAGCTGGACGAGCACCGCTCCAGCAGAGAGCACCGATCAGAAAGCAACTCCAAGGACAGGACTCACTCCGAACACCGCTTCCACTCTGAGCACCGCTCTGCCTCTGACTACACGCATCACAAATCGTCCCGGGACTACCGCTACCATTCAGACTGGCAGATGGAGCACCGGCCGCGCTCTCCGCTGGGACACCGCTCGCCCTTCGAGTACTCGTCAGACCACAGAAGCACACCCGAACAGGTCTGGAGCGGCCGCAAGACATAACGCTCTCCGCTCTGCTCGCTTCTGATTAGCCATAGACACAAAACACACAGGAAATGCCTTAGGGGACTGTCGGCCGCTGCACTGGGGCTCTGGGAGTGCCACCCTTTCCTACTCACCTTCGAGAAACACAGATCATATTTTTGTATTTAAGAGTTAGCTGCATTCTTTCGTAGGTGCTGCAGAGTAATTTTTTTTTTATTATTCTTTTTATAAATTGACTACTTTCCTTTTTGTTTGTTTTTTTACTTGGAAACAGATGAATCCATGTTTCACTGTCACGTGCGACACTGGATCCGGACATACAGCCGTATATAAACGCAACGCAGCTTATTTAAGAAGTGTTGAGTGAAAGGATGCTACAAATGTGTGTCGTCTTTATCCGCTGAGGGGTTTCTGTTCTGAAGGACTGGGGCTCACCTTCCAAAGTACCTCGTTTACAGTGTTTTGTGACCATTTTGCCAATTTTTATCTGTAATTTTTCTTTCCATCATGCTTGAATTATTTAAATCTGTCTCGGCTGTAAAATAATCTGGACTATTTTTAGCGCGCATCAGATAATGTCAGTTTTCCACATTGTACTACTGTAAATTATTGTATAAAGTAAATCAAATGGGCTTTTCTCAGGCTGGTATTTTTTTAACTATTTCCCCATCGACTCAGGCTATTTCCTCTCTTCCTTGTTTTTTTTGACGTTTCTTTAATCTCAGTAGTTTTGAATCATGAAATGGGGTAAATATTCCACGTGTATTCGTTCTGTAGGATCGTTTGGTTTGTTGATCTCCTCTTTGGTTTCTCTCTCTGTAAGTGAATTGGCCTCACTTTATAACAGCATCATGTCAAAAAATACAAGCTGTGTAACAAAAAAAGGACATGAAAGGGTCGATCGTAGCTAGAGGCACTTATGAGCTCTCCTTAGAACATTTCCATGATGATCTTTCCTCTTGTTTTCTATAAATGTTGGCAATAATGTAATATTTTCTATGCAGCCAGAGTAAGTCAGAATGCTGTTACAGGATATACTGATGTACATAGATCTCCTATATTTCAAATCCAAATTTACACTGAAAATGCATGAGTTTTTAAAGTAATTGTTTTATATAATTGTTTATAAAGTCATTAAACTCAAATCACTGTTTTCACCTGTAATCTGGCTTTAATGTAATTTAGTGTGCTTTTCATGCAATCGTTTTCAAAGTAGATTTACGATTCGGAAGCATTTGACGCTGAGGTGGGTTGCTGTTCGTCTCTGCCAATGAATGCAAACTTTTCAAAACGGGTTTGTTTTTGGGTAAACTTTGCAAACTGTTAGTTGTTGCTTATTTGAATATGATAGATTGTAATGCCAGGAAACTTTGAGTGGAAGCCAGCCAAACAGATGTCTGTCACTTTTGTCAGCAGTGCATTGCATCATTTACCATTTGAACTATATTCCTCTCTACTTTGAGCCTGCCGTTTGATGCATGTGAACTACAACTGAACGTTTCCATCTGCATGTTCTCATGCTCCAAAAACGAAAAACTCTTTTTAGACTTCCATTGCATTTCTTGTGTGGTTACGGAAATGGGCAGAATTGAAAACACTACTGCACAAGTGGAAAAACCCACAGCATGCGTTCACTAGTTTAGTGTAGGATGAAAAGCTTGCTTAGTTTGCACCTGTAGTCCAATCAGCTGAGCACTGACTGTAACAGACTGAGGGAAGTGATGAGCCTGTGTCTTTCAATCGTTTAATAGTTGATGTCAAATGCATGATTCGTATGCTTACAATTTCACTGATGTTATCAGAAGAGACATTTCTACAAACAAAAATCTTATCACACATAAATAGATCTTACAATGCATATGTTAAATGACCTCAAGATGCAAGATAAACTATTTTATGACCAAGCCAAGGCTAATGCTGTCTATAGGAAAGATAAGGAAGTTTACTGAGACTGAAGCACTGCAGGGTGAGCGTCACTGGATATCTTGTAACGTGATCTATGTCTTACATGCTTAAACACAACTAGGGTAACTTGGCTGTCTGATGTAATCTAACACGGCTGCCACAGGTTCAAAGACAGGCAAAGAGAATAACAATAACCGGCCCACTTCCGGTTGTTTGAAAAATAAGCATAGAAAGGCAACATTTATTCAGGCGAGAGTCATCCTGGAGGACAGGACGCAGTTGAAATGGCTGCGGATTTTAGTAGGTCTTTTTCTCCTCAAATATAATGTTGGCAGTGGCTTTCTTGGCTGCAAGACAAAACAAAAGACTGGATCATCAACCGTTCATAATTGCTTTTAAAGACTGCAAGGAAACTAATGACAAATGCTAGTCGCTGTTATAAACATACAGAGTTTGATCATATAACATGCTTCTCAAGTCATTGATGAAACATCATGTCAGTGAAGATCCCTAATATTCCAATGCATTTTTTTTTTGTTATTGCTCCAATCAGAAACAAACAGCAAATGCATGAACTGCATCTGGTTTTCACCTTCATCTCTAAACTTGTCTGCCGTCTCTGATGCTTTATCCGTGATGTCTTTCATCACATTGTCGATCTTGGCTTCATTCTTTAAGAAGAAGGGCCGGATGATCCTTGTGTAGATCAGAATGGAGCCGTTCGATGGAGTGGGAGCCATGCACCAAACCAAGAAAGCACACTAGCAAGAAAAAACAAACATTACAGTCTACTCCGTATTACAAAACTCAAACACTAAGCATTAATGACAATGTTTTACATTACAAAACTGTAAATTCACACAGTTGTTTCTTGAGCGGTTTAAAGTAACCTGTGTTTGGACTGCAACTCCCGTGGTCACTCACGACTAGCCCAAATTTCTGTATCAGAAGACGCCACCTTTAAATGGCTATAACTTTGGAAAGAATATTTTCACAAAATGTAGTACAACTATCCCATATATCTCAATCTAAAGAGGCACAACCAATTTCAACAGGTCAATAATGATCAAAAACATGTCAATCTTAAAAATGTAAAATAAAGACTATTATTCATTACGCCCGTGTACTGCTAATAGGAGAATACGATTTGGCACACTTATTAGGGTACACACTTACTAGTCTGGGATCTCTAAACCACACGAACTCCTCCAACCAGTTCAAAAATGCACTTTTCTTTTCGTTTTAAATTTTGAGCCCTTTGCTCTAGAAACAAAATGCTTTTTCTTCTAATTTCAATGTGTTTGTGGTGTTTATCAATAATTAAAGAATAGTTTTACTATTTATGATCTGTCGTGGCAAAATTCCCCCATTCTTGTCATGCACCAATTAAAAAAAGTGAATATATGGTTTGTATTTTTTATTAAATAATAAGAATAACTAGATTGAAAAGTTGGCTTGAAAAAGCCTAGCTACAAAGTTTGAAAAAGTTTTAAAAGCTTGCAGTCTGAAAGTTTTCAGTTTGAAGTAGTTTGAAAGTTAAAATAGTTTTAAAGATTAAAGTTTGAATGTTTTCAAGGCAATACAATCTATCGGAAAAACAGATGGGTATAAACAAGTTACTAACATGTTGCTAGCATGATTCTAGCATGATTAGCATGGTGTTAACATTTTGTTAGCATGATTACCAAGTTACTAGCATGTTTCTAACATGATTAGCATGTTACTAGCATGGTGTTAGCATTTGGTTAGCAAGTTACTAGGATTTTGCTAGCATGATTAACATGTTACTAGCATGATTAGCATGATGCTAGCATGTTTAACAAGTTGCTAGCATGTTTCTAGCATGATTAGCACGATACTGGCATGGTGTTAGCCTTTTTTAGCATGATTAGCAAGTTACTAGCACATTTTCTAGCATGATTAGCATGTTTCTAGCATTTTGTTATCATGTTTCAATGCTAATCCAGCTAAAACTAGTTGACTCAGTAAAAAAACAGCTAAAAAACAGCTAAGACCAGACTGGCCTGCTAAAAAAGTGGCCAAGAACCACTTTAAAACCAGCCTGGAAGACCAGCAAAAGCAGTCAATCAGCTTAGGCTGGTTTTAGCTGTATTTTCAGTAGGGAGTTGTTAAGCTTTGCTACAGCAACAGACAGCTTAAATACACCGTAAGTCTTATTGTAGGGCTGTCACTAATACATGAATTCCAGAAGTTCGTCCATTGTCTTTGTTCCACATTAATTGTCGTAGTTCCTGTTTGAGTGTAGGGCTGCCACTAACGACTATTTTTATTTCGATTAATCTATCGACTAAATTATCGATTAATCTAAACGATTAATTTCCCACAAAAAAAACATCAACAATTTTACTTAAGAATATTTTATTAAACTATTTCATTAAACCAAATGAAATCCAAAAGTAATAAAAGTAAAGAGCAACATAAAGTGCAAGAAGCAAGTGTCCATCTC